GACTTTGGTCCGGCTTTGTCTCGCGCCGCCTCTTGGCTTATTGGCGATCTGGCCGGATTTGACGATACGTCGGACCGTGGAGAGCGCGATGCCATTGTGCTTGGCAACAATCTACCAATTCGCACCGTCGGAGTATGCTGAGATGATTCGTTTCTTCTCTTCTGTGGCCGGTGCCGAGCGTTTGCACTCATGCTTTGCGGTAAGTTGGAAAATGGCCGTCTGCATGTATGTGTGTCATTTCAAAGGCGGGTATTTCTCGCGACTTTGATTGGAACAAAAGCCACATTGAATGGAATGAGTCCACGTGGCATGACTTGCCAAATTTTATATTTTATATTTGAACCACTTTGATTGGAACAAACTGCCAGTTTGATCGGGAAAAGGTGTAGTATATATTTTCGTAGGTAGTAGTTTAATACTTCGAAGTACGACATTAAACCAGAAAAAGCAAGGTAAAAACGGTAATTTTGAATGCAGCGCAAGGTGAAGGAACCACCTTGCGAATTCCAAAAATAATTCTGAAATTGTACATTTTCAATTAAATATATCTATTGTTGATTTTTATTTTTCATTTGTCTGTCTGTTTTTGGAATTCTCAAGGCAGGCCACCTTGCAAATTCAAAATTGTCCAATTTATCCAATCAGATGCCGTCAAATGACGAAAATCGTTGCGTAGATATATTCTACTCCTGTGATGGCAGTTGATGCAAGGAGCAATAAGATAATCATGTAGGCTGTGTATGAGAGCAATATCATGCGATTTGGTATTCAGGACTGAATCAATTCGAACATCATCGCTTGCCTACGAACCCAATGAATGTGGTCATCCCTGATTCCACCATCCAGTCCGTGTCGGTGCCGTACACCGCCCTGCTGGTGTGCTCACGTGGTTACGCGGGTGGTGGCGCAAGACGTCTTGGTGGAACCCATCCCAAGTGCCAAAGCTGCCACTTGAGCACTTGTGATGGGTGCTACCAAGATGTCTTGCGCCACCGCGGATAACAGCGTAGTGGCTCACCAGAGCCGCCACGGCAATTGCGACCCAACTGAGCGCACATCGTAATGTTTACTGTAAGGGGAAAACCATATTGGATATAGTCGGAGTGAACTCATCAGTACACAATTCTCCGGAGCAGCATCACACAAAGCTCTACAGTTTTCAAGCGTCCAAACAGTTCAATATTGTAACCTCTTCTACCAGTGTTATAGCCAATCGTGGGTAAGAAAACGTGTAACTGACTCTGATTGGATATTAAAAAGGGGTGAGGTGGCTCGCCTTGCAAATTCATTAACAAGTCAATCTAATCACTTTCCAATTTACTCTGTGAAGCTCGCTACTACAACATTTGGTAGCACTTCCCGTTCAGTTCGACAGCAAGGACTTACACCGAGGGGCATAGCTCGGGGGTTGTAAGGTTACTCCATATAGCTCAGGCAAACTTTCAACGGCGACCTTTCGTAGCGACTATTGTCGAGTGAGCAATCGCCCGAGTGTTTAATTTCCATGATAGCCGTCCGATATCAGAGTCGGTAAGAGGAGTCGACCGTTAGGAAAGGGACATTTGGTGCGTGTGAAGATTAACTGCCAACGAAATCTGGGCAGGACAATAGTAAGGCACGTAAAAAGAACAAATTCAGGAAAGCAGAGGGCGTCAAGTAAGAGTGAGTTAGTCTCATTTAACGCCATCTACTATCTCGAACAAAGCGACATCGAGAACTTGAACAACCGTTTTCAGCGAGACGTGCGTAATTTACGACACTCGCGGAGTTACAACACGGTTTGCGTGAACAGTTCGAACTGAGTGAGCTGCAAGTTGGCTATGTGACCGTCTGTTTGCGTTACAGCAGGAGGGGTGCAAGGCTGACGCTAAACCCAAAATTCTAATCAGATCTAAAGTGGGATCAAGCAACATTATTTAGCATTTTTCAACATATTTCACACCGGTTCCCAAACAGCGATTGAACTCTATTCGTATGGATGAACTACACGAAGCAGCAGAATCGCCCGGATACAAGTGACTTCATGTCAAAACATGTCAAGTCAGTGAATCAACTACTAGCAGGGAATATCGCTTACCAAGCCGCATTCGTAGTAGCACTCCGTTGTAAATGTAGGTGCTACTGTGGATGCGACCTATAATTGCACCTACGCTTATTATACTGTTCTGCTCCATATCTTTTGCAGCATATCATATATTTTGTAAGCAACGGTAATTTTAATATATACTTGTAGTTTGTATACCTATAATTGAAATAGTATAATAAAATAGATCCTAAATATTAAGGATGAAAACTTGGATGCCTTGTCGACACCTTTGCAGGACGAATTAACACATTCAAGCCATGGCAAGACTGTAGCAACCTTACTAGGTGTCAAGTTGATATCTGGTAACATGGAAAGCAAATGATTGGCACTTAATACGCGCAAATTCTGAGAATACAGCGCTCCTCTCGAATCACTTGGAGCGACCTCACGAGCAGATCTAGATGACTAGACGAGCTGTGATGGATGGGGAGAGGTAAGGACATCGCACGAGTATACCGTCTTAAGCTTACAAAAATACAATTACTATCGTCTGTGCACCCTAAGATATTCTGGTTTGAAAAATTAGGTCTCAAAGTTTTGGGGTCATGACGCACTAACTACTTAGACTTTTCCGGGACATGAGGAGGTATCAAATCAAAGCCTGGAATGTGTATCTATCGAATGAGCCAATCCAATTGCGATTACGAGGAGAAATGTAAATTTTAGTCCAATCAGAAACCAAGTGCTTCAATAATTATGGAACAGAGTTGTATGCACTTAAAACGAGCTCTTTCACAACATTCGCATTGACAGTCTACGCATGCGTTGACAGGAAAAGTCCAGAAGTCGCAAGAGTAGAGGGAGGAGAGGCATGCTGCCTCCTACCTACGCCTGCCATCCAGTGCCGACACCGTAGACGGGCGAGTAGGTGCAGTGCTAGGGTGACGCGTGTCGGCTCTGGTTCCACGTCGCATGGAATCAGTGTACTTCCTAAATGCAGTAAGGTTAACATTGTCAGTCGACGAGGTCGGGGCATGCTGAGGGACGACTGCCATCATGGCCCATGGCGTCAGTCATCCTTCACTATACAAGCGTCACATGCAGTCGTGTCGATAAGACAAAAATGATAGGGCTCATGGACTCACTCTAACTTAGCTTGCGCCATGCGAGGATGCTCCTCTCGTTATCACTGTGTTAGTTGTGAATAAAGTACCTGCAAAGCAAGGCTAGATAGTACATCAGTGAGGCAATACGAGGCAACATGCTCCTGTTCAATTCATCATCATCTTCCAGAAATATTGCGTTTTGATTGGATAAATATTATTTTTATGGCCAACCACACGTTTCAAATGGATTTGCCCGTCGTTGACACGAAACAACAACGACGGGCAAATCCTCTACTATACTGTATGAGCTCCTCTCGTTATCATTCTATTAGTTGTGAATAAGATAATTGCAAAGCAAGGCTAGTTACTTTAGTGCTTCGAAGTACATCATTCACGCAATATGAGGCAATATGCTCCTGTTCAATCATCTTCCAGAAATACTGCGTTTTGATTGAATAAATATTACTTGAAGTATATTTTGTGGCCAACCACATATTTCAATGTTGTCATTATTCAATTTACCACCTCTTACACACTGCTCACTGAACACAGGTATGTAAGTGATCGATCCCCTTAAGCATTCAGCCATCCGTTGGTACCACAAGCAAGGTTCATTCTATATCTAGGTAGTACATGCAGTCTGTATATCTCGATTGTAGAAGATGTCGTACAGAAGCACCACGAAACACGACTTATGCACGATATACGTGGAAGTTTGGCGGCTTGGGGCGTAGACTGACACACTCAGCCTACGCCACAAGCCGCCAAAGTTTCTACGGGAGTACAATTCAATCGACTGCTCCGGGTCATGAGGCTCGAGCAATCGTTTAAGGTTTAGCCCATGTAGCTAGCTACTCGCAGCAATACCAATACATCCTGATTCGCGGCCGCTTCATGCCATCGGTGGTTGGTCTTAAGGCCGTCGATAAGTTTAAGGTATTTCGTGATTTCCCTGCCCATATTCCGATGATTACCATAACTGAAAAAGTCACCCTAACCACTCTCACGACTTTTTTCAACAGGCTTTTTCTCCCTCCAAATTACTGCCAGCATTCACTAATCTAAGCCAGGTGATCGATTGAACGGTCCAAAGTGGTTACCTTGCAGGTTAACGCAGCAAGCACTTGGGCCACTAGCTGTGACTTCAACCTTTTATTGGTCGGTCGGAGGCAAAATGCGTCGGAGATCATGCCCGTCAAACATGTCAAAGCTCGCGCCATGGTCTAGTTCCTTCAAAACAACGATATCCCGATCCAAAGCACGGATGAGACTCATTATGTCGACTGAACACCCCATGGAGCTTCTGCCAGGAGCTCGTATAGGTGAACTCGTGCAACAAATCAAACTTCTTTCTGCTTCTCGCGAAGCACCAGACAGAGGTGATTAGCAGTAAACACAACGAATTCTCTATAATACGAAACAAAACATGGAACGTTTTATATCACCACTATTTTCTGGTCAGTTATCAGATTATTGTAGCAAAGAAGATATGCAAGATTGTCTCCGAAGATCGCAGAACGAAGTTCGAAGGAGAAGGAAGATGCCAGGAGTACGACCCCTCAACTTTAAGCTCCCGTGAGCATGTGTTGTCTTGCGCCGGTTTCACAACCGACGGCTACCATCACAACGGTGACCTCGATGACAAATCCAAAAGGAACTTCATTATCCAGTCAATCAGTCAGTTCCCTCGGTTCACTTCAATACTCTCTACAAGTCTTGCATCGGTACAGTGTACCATCACCTCGGGACATATGCCCCTCCGGGGCCAGGTCTTATTTCACACTCCTCCAATGTCGTCCTGTTCCGGACTAATCTTCGGCTACCCACACTCAGGCACAGGGAGTCAAACAGAGGTTCGGCCGATAACACTTCCCTCCCTACAACGGGTGGCCACATCACCCGTGAGATCGTCAATCATTTCGCTCACGCCATCTTCGTTGCTCCGGGCCTTTGTCCAGAGACGGAATAGCACTGGAACGTCTTCGTAGATCAATTGGGTCGGTTCCCAGGACGTGATCAGGGCTTCCCAGACCCCGTCTCGCAGACGCAGGTCCTGGAGGGCTTCCACGTAAAAACCTTCATCGCCGAACGCAATTTGGGCCTTCAAATCTTCATTGACTTCACCTCCGCCTTCACAGTACAGGCAGAGCCGGTACGCATGATGCAGGGACGTCGCTCCCGGAGGTACCAGCTGCTAGACTTCCATCAGGTAGTCGAAGACCACCTTCACAACGCAGCGTTAGCCCGGGTTACCAAAACAAAATCACCCGACAAATTTTGCCAGCTTTACCAAACTTGACCATCCCGACAGTACTGGGCCTTAGTGTACTTTGTTGTGGTCGTTTCTGCCACGTTCTTGCGCATAACTCCGAGGGCATCTGCAAGCTCAACCACGTGGCGTATCATCCAGGACTTAATCCAGTTACCTCCCGGAGCTCATCCGGGTGGACCAGACCGGTCAGGAGGGGTGTAGCAGGCAGGCCAGGAGGGGTGTAGCAGGCAGGCCAGGAGGGGTGTAGCAGGCAGGCCAGTAAACGCCGTCGTTGGCGCCGTCCAAACGGCTGGCCAGTTGCTGGTTTAGGGCAGACTGTACCAGGGGTAACACCCCCGGCCAGTCTCCGGGTTGCAAGCGCATCTCGCTGCACAGGGTCATCAGGGCCCGGACGAAGATCCAATTCACCACCTCAACTGTCCCGTTGGCCCAAGGGCAGTGTGGTGTGACAAAATGGTGATGAACACCTAACATATGACCCACGGTACTGACCAGTTCGTTCTAAAATGAGACCCGGAGTCGGGTACCCATGCCCTGATCACCCCGGACAGGCCAAACCATTCCATCAACGCCGCGGCCGTATCTGCTGCAGACGCTGTCGTACTGGCATAATACGAACACTCACATGTCATCCTTGATGACCAGGACGTATTTCAGGCCTCCGGGAGTGATAGCTAGTCGAAATGAATGAACTCATTTGGCTTCGTTGCATGCAGCATTTCACCCCAGGGACGGGATACCGACTCACCGTCGACCACCATACAATGCAGGCAGGCAGTGAGAAAATTCTTCACGTCGCTCGTCAGGGAAGGCCAATCAAACATCTCCGCAACAGATGCCGTTGTTGCTTTCACTCTCCGGTGTCCCGCCACGCCAGAATAGGCCACCACACATATACGCACTTGGATATCCGATGTATATCCCGGGACCCAGATCTTTCCAGCTGCCGTCCGAAAACACTTCTCGGCGCTCCAGGAGGCGTATTTTGCACATGTCGGATGGCCACGCTGCATTTCCGTGATCACATTCGCTGTCGGCCACACAAATTTCTCGGTTCGTAACGGGGACACCAGGGCCCGCCTGGACATCCAGGCACTCCGGGACTCCACCGGAAAGCTTCTGTCCGGGAGGCCTTCCTCAACGGCCCAGGAGATCCGCTCACAGGTTCTCCTCTCCGGCCACACACTCCACTACGCACGGGAACGTCGTCATCGTCAGCGCCTAACGCTGGAGCTTGTGGGCCTGGTACTTGGCCATGTTCGAGTTCGACCCGGGTTCCGGTGGTCCGTAAACAGTCGAAACCCTACCCGGCGGATCAGGAGGTACTCCAAGCACTTACATGATTCGACAACTGCAAATACCTCTTTCTCCACGCTAGTCGCTCGCCGGTAAGACCAGGTCCTGGACCGGTATCTGTGTCGCAACAGCTCCCCAGAACCACTCGCTCGCGTCGGTATACAAACATACCATCTTGTCCGGGTCCGGGTTCGTCAACAAAACCATACGTTTCAACGCCCCCTTCATCCGGTCGAAACACTCCAGGTGGTCCCCGGACCACCCGACCGAGCTCTGCGCAACACGCGTCAACGCCGTCTTCTTCCGGGAGTCGGCCGCCTTGACAGCAATATCCAACAACTTCGTCAATGGGGCTACCAGCTCCGTGTACTGCGCGATGTTCCCCCTCATCCAGTTCATGGCGCACAAGCACTGGATCCTTTTCGGGACATGCACCACGCCGTCCGCTGAAATCTCTTTCCCACGCCATATGGTCCGGGTAGTGTATAAAAGTTACTTCCCGGCGTGTAACTTCAGTCTGTTGCTTTGCCGATCTCAAGCACTTGACGCAGCAGGTGCAACAACTCGTCCGAGGTCTGGGCATACCCCCAACATATCATCCAACCATACCAGCAGTCCGTGTATCAGAAGGCCCCCGAACAACTCATCGACCACTCCTTGGCAATAGACCACCGCATCGGTCTGGCCCATCAGGATCCGGGTCGAGGTCACCACCCCTACGGGAGTCGTGAAGGAGTACAGGCGGCGACGGAATTTAAGGGACACCGAAGATTTCTTGTTACTCACGAAATATTTTCCAAACAAATTCAAATTTATGAATAAATCATAGCGATTGGACAAAAGTATCTCTGCGCGGGAAAACATTTTAAATGCACCCGCTTTGCACATTTGACGGCACATGTCCACTCATTTCACAATGCGAGGAGTACCTCGCAACAAGATAAGTCCACAGAAGAATCCTCGATGACGGTACTCTCACGCGACCAAACGTGAGATGCTCGGGAAGATGCAGGATGCATCAACACGAGACCTGGAGGCCAATACTTGCATACCCAAGAGAAACCTATCGCGCTGGAAGAGGCAGGCTCAATCCTTCGTCAACTTTGAAGGCAAAAAGAAGCGATTCCACCTCGACGGCCCTGGGTGGCCCAGGGAGCTTCCTTACAGCGATACCCTTAAGGAATTCATTGTCAAACTCCGCGATACGGAGCGAGCCGTGACATGCACGCATCTCGTCAACTAACTCAAGCGTAACCACAAGGACTGGCTCGACGAATACCTCGCTGTCACGACGTGTGGCTATAAGTCGCATCTCAAGCTGCTTCAACGCTTCTGCGCTCGTCATGGCTTTTCCCGCCAGAAGACCGCCAAGGCAAAACAAAGCCAAGCCGCTCGACCTTTGCACAGGAGGTTCACAAGACTTTCGATGGGTTCAGTCTGGACGTCATCATCAACGTCGATGAGACTGGTATGCAATATGACATGCCACCACATTCAATTTTGGCAGTTCGCGGAGGGTCGTCCAAGATATCCAGGGGGGAGAAGCATTCGTATCGAATGATGGTGTGCCCTCGGTGCGCGCGAATGGCGACAAGCTACCGATACTGTTTGTCTTGCGTGGATCACCTGGTGGTTTCATTGAACAAAACGAGTTCGACACGTTCCCCATTAGACATTACTACTCTGTTCAAGAAAGCGCGTGGATGGATGAGCCAGTCTGGGCGTTCTATTTGCGCAAGGTGTTGAAGCATTAAGTCCGTGAACCGACCGTACTGCTCTTGGACAATTTCGACCCTCACGTGTGCAAGCAAGGGCAACGGATTGCACGCAAGTAATGTGTTTGTGTTGTTGCTCCCATCCCACCGAATGCGACAAGCGCTGTTCAACTCCATGACGTTGGGGTTATGGCTTCTTTCAAGCTCCAGCTGGGGAACTTGTGGCTGGAGGTAGAATTATATTGAAGGCACTGATAGTGATGTAGACGTAGACCTTATGTCCGTGCCTGCGCAACATAAGCACCTAGTTATGATTCATCGTGCCATAAAGGCATGGGCGCGTATTACGCTGGATGAAATTCGTCGCAGTTTTACTAAGGCTATTCCTCAATATATATAATTACTTTTGGAAGGAAGTATGGATAATACCTAATTTTCTAGAAAAAGTTCGACACCCCCGGGACTCGAGCCCTGGGCTCACTCAAGACACACAACGTGTTTTACCACTGCGCTATCGCGTCAAACGCTTATCTTCAACCCCGCTAAATCAACCCAATCAATATAAAATACTTGAGTGTTTTGAAATTGTGCTAAGTGCTGTGTCGCTCATTGATTGGCCACAAAATCCATCAAACTTCGAAGTACTTCAGCCAATCATTTTCTGATATGCTGGAAATTCGAAATACCAAGTGTCCCTTAAATTCCGTCGCGGCCTGTAATACTTCTGGTGGTCCGGGTGTAAGGACAGCTGCCAATAGCCCTTCATCCAGTCCTGTTTGTAGTAGACATTCGAGACCTTCAAGACAACCATGACCACCTCCAGATAAGGCATGGGCCAGAACATCGGCTCGGTACACCCATTGATTGGTCTCGAGTCGTCCTGAGGCTCCCGGATACTTCTTCGGGGCAATCCTCGGAGCCGATCAGTGTTCTGGTACACCAGACCCGCTTCTTCCAGCTCCCGGACATGCTTTTCCAGGAACGCCACATGGGTGGGAGGGTAGCGCCGCAGTCCCGACTTCACTGGTACAACCCTTCCTTGAGACGCACCTTAAATGGGTCTACTTTCACCAGCGGGTCTCTCCCGAACTTCAGCCGGAACACGTCCCGGAACTTCATCAACAGGTCCCGGAGCTGCTCGACAGCTGCTGTTGGCATGACCGCGGTAGCCACCTCAGCCATTTTGGTTTCCACAACAATACGCACCGGACCATCGTCGTCAGTCGCATTTCCCAGTTCTGGCGTTGCACACGCCATCCCTTCGTCGTCGTTGATACCGTCTGTCAACTCTCCCATCCGCAGGGTACGATGCATCGCGACTCCTGGAGTCGTGATCGGCTGACCCCCGAAATCCCATATGGCTTGCTACCGATGTATATTCTCCAGCAACGTCTGCTCATTGTAGCCCAGCTTCTGCATCCCAGGCAGGCCCAGCATCAGCTCAACGGGTGCTACGGTCTCATCGACCCAGACCCGGAGCCTTCGCGGCCCACACGCGGTCTTGAATTCCAGGCTACCCAGGTGAACTTGTTTTGTCACAATAATCACCTGGCTGTCCGCCCCGTACAGTCGGAGTTCCATCGGACCCATGACCGTAATCTCCGGGGATGCTCCTGCAGCCAACAGCGCAGAAACCAGGCCTCCGGAGGCCACCGACAAATCAGCTCCTTGGTCCAGGAGTGCTGCCTGCACGGGAATGACACCGTCCACAACAGCCGGGAGCTCAGGTCGTTTCGCGTCCGGGACATCCGTCTTCACCGTCACCACGCGGCCACCAGGTGCTCCCGAGGCTCCTTTCTCGCCGCTCCGACCACGTCTGAACGTACTTCCGTGTGCTCTGAGCAGTTGCTTGACCTCGTCGGGGGTGATCCCGGGACATTTCCGGACCCGATGGCTGGTTGACTTACACTTCAGAGAACCGTTGTTCGTTGTACCGATAGCCGGTGCGTTCGGAACAGGTGTCAGGGGCTTCGGGTTCCGAGACTTTGACCCGGGCGGCTTCAGTATGTTCGGTCTCGGAGGCGACTTCAACTCGTCATCGTAACCCACAACACGTTTGTGTCCGATCGCATATCCGCAACCAGCGCACAAACCGGTACACATCCTTCTTCAAAGGCTTGTTTCGTGTCAACGTGTTGTGGTGGGCGACTTAATCCAAGTCCCGCCATGACACAGGTGGTCCTCAACCGAGGCCACCGGGTGCCGACCCTTGGCGAACCGACACGAAAAGGCATAGTATTACTAGTAGTATTACTAAGACGTAGAAAGCAGAATCCTGTCCCAACCAACTGCCGGAGTCTCACTCAGTTAATCAAGTGTGCGGTTTGCAGGGAGTCGGCACTCCCCCATTTGGTTGTTTGTGTTGGCACTGGTGTGGGAAACAACACAAAGTATACTTTAGTTCCAGTGACCTACGGAACTAAGAGCAATGGCGAAGAACTCGCAAGATCGCGCCCAGAAGCCGAAGGCCGCGGCAACGGCGCCAGCAGCTGCGTGCAGTGAAACTGAGGAGGAAGTACCAGTGACGGAGCCACCGTTAGTCCTGGTAGTTGGAAGGACCACTGAAGTGCTGCCGGCTGTGGAAGAGTCCAAAAGCGAAGAAGTCCGGAAGACGATGGAAGAGCTGGCCAAGGCGAACAAAGCCATAGGTAGTGCGCGAGCGGCGTCCATGCCCTGGGACGATATCGCGGCGGCGATATGGTGGTCAAACTATGGGACCGAACTGGAAACAACTACCACGACCCCCAATCGAAGGCGCCTATGTTGATGAAGACTACTCGCCGTCAAAGAAGACCGATGCCGAGAAACGACCGGACTAAAAGGCGGAAGCTCGAGCTAAGCTACGTGCGCAACGGCGAAATCGACCGGATAGTACTCCTGACATCGAGGAAGAAGAAAAGGAATACCAAGAAGAACAACGTAAGCAAGCATAACGGCGGCGGATCAACAAAGCCAATCGTCCCCCAAAGGAGAAGCGTGTCGACGATGCCAAAGTGGCGCAAGCGGCCCATGATCGACGGATGTTGGACACCACCCTACCTAGCAGCTCGGGATGGGGACCTCTGTCCAGTGGACCATCGACGCCAAGCAGCGGAGGATGGGGACCCAATTTCAACTCCAGCGGACCTTCATTGGTCGTGACAGATGTTCAACCCCCCGGATCACCTGTATGGACAGAACTTTCCTGGTGAGTTGGGTAAAGAAGCGGGAGACATATGAGGACAAGCTACGGGTGAATGCACAACGCATTGGTGGCGAGTGGCGGCGGAGTGCTGTGGGGTGGATTCCTTCCACTGACGGCAGCCTCCTGAAGGCTACATGCACCTATGTTTGGTGAGTGCCTGTGAAACAACTCAGTGAGGATGACTACCGCGACCGCATTATAGAAATCGTTGGGCAACCAAGTGGACACCCACCAAGTCAGATATGCCAACATACTGCGCTGAGTGTCGACCCCCATGGAGACGTGACTAGTCGCCTGGTGTCGTTTATGGAGCGGATTCATGATGTCATCGACGAGAACGGCTTACGTCAACAACTTAAGGACTCCACCATGCTGAGAACGTTCGTGAAGGTGGTAGCAGCGCGTGTCACACCCAGCTACCTACGCGACAGAGTGGAAGAGCAAATGAAGACCGTGCCGGCGAACGATCTGGTGGCCTTTGCGGATATCCTACGCTTGACCGAACGCATGATGCGGACATGGTCAATCAGCAAAGGAACAGCTACGGTTCGAAGCGTGGCCATGAAGAAGACGACCAAGGGTGCCGCATTACGAAACATGCGAAGGAAGCCAACCAAGCTGTTCGAGATCAGCAGGAATTACGAGGAAATTACCCTCGTCCACCAGGTGGATACATCAAGCCGGAACGAAGTGCGGCGGTGTGGTCCCCATCGACGCAAAAGCGAACGGGGACCCACCAGCCACAAAGTACGGACCGCAAGCGAATTCGCGCACAAGACACGACGACCGCCATCTCCAAGCTGTGCGTGATGAAGCACCTCCTCGATTTGCACCTGATGAAGCACCCCCTCGATTTGCACCTGGCCGGGATGACCGCGGCATGCTGTGCTTTGTCTGCCAGCAGCCAGGACACATGGCCCGGGAGTGTCCCAATACAAAAGACGGGGATATCGGCGATTCAAGCTGGAAGAAGGGCAAGAACGCCGTCAAGCAGCTCAAGGCGCGGGAACGCAAAGCGAATATGCAAGCCAAACGAATGAAGAGCTCCCACCACCCACCATGTGGACGTTGGGTGCGACTGAATAGTGTGCTGGAAGTTCCATACTGCCCGGATACCGGCGCAGACCAAAACATTATGCCACAAGCCATGGCGGATGAACTTCATGGGTTACAGCCACAACTTCAAGATGTAAAGTTGGCTGCGCCATTTGTGGGAACAGCATGCAACAATATGCCGTTCGAAGTGAGCTACTATGTGGACCTTACGCTAACAATGCAGACGGCCGCTGGACCAGTCAAGGTGCCAGGCAAGCGCCGCTGCTACGTGGTCAACGATGGAGATGAATTCCTCGTTTCGGATGACACCCTCAAGACTATTGGTATCGACATTGACCACCTGCTGGAACAGGTGGGGCGCCTACAATGGGATGAGGACAGCGATGACCAGGAAGAAGTTTGTGGCTATTGCGTGGAATCACCCCAACGATCGGCCGTCAGAGCCGCGACCATGAAGGCGGTGCTACCTGTAGCCAAGAATGAAGTCGAGGAAGCCCTGCAAGGCATGATCGACGGCGCGGACGATAACGGATTTCCAATGGAACATGTAAAGTACTTGTGGGATGTGCTCAGCAAGCATGACATCTGGCGAATCAAGTTCGACGGGTCAGACTCACCGGCGAAGGTGAAGCCGTTGAAGGTAACCCCGAAGGATGGGTGTGTTCCTTACCGATGCAAAGGAAGGAAGCACAACCATCTGGAGGAGAGGTTCCTCAGGTTGTTTGCACAAGAACTACTCGATGCAGGCGTGATGAAGAGCAATCAGCAAAGTTTGCGGTGTAGCCCGGTGAACCTGGTTCTCAAGCCAGATGGGCGCAAGTCATTGAAGTCGGCCGACAAATGGAGCGACGATGACGTGCTCAAGAACTATCGGCTAACCAACGATCACTGAGTTGTCAACTCGCTAACCGAACCGAAGGCAGGGACGATGCCATTCCTGGCTGCCATCCTCCAGAACCTACGAGGCAAGAAAGCGACGGGCGTGTTTGACCTGCCCAAGTGCTTTTGGCAGTTCCCACTGCACCCAGACAGCTGGGACATGTTGTCGTTCATGCTGAACGGATGTGTGTGCACCCCGGATCGAGTGATGCAAGGCCATGTAGACAGTGCCGTCTATGTGCAATCAACGAACGAGGAGTGCTACAAAGACCTGCACTACAAGAACATGAAGACCTGCTCTACAAGAACATGCTGATCGGGACCGACGACATCTTTGTGTACGCCGGCACAGTGGAAGAGTACGTGGATGCCCTCGAGTCGTTCTTCGATTGAGTGGCCCAGTACGGGTTCAAACTGAGTCCAGCCAAGACTAAGCTGTTCACGGATCAAGTCAAGTGGTGTGGACGCATCATCAGTGGTGATGGCGTCAAGCAAGACCCTGAACGCATAGAACATCTGTGTACGATCCCCTACCCTACGAATGCGGGAGAATTGCAGCAGTTTGTGTACGTCGTGAACTGGCTGCGGGACTCGATGACAGTTTACGCACAGACCGTCGACCCACTGCAGCAGTGTCTGACGAAGGCCCTCGAAGGCGTGGGCAAGAAGAAGCGGATCGCGTCTGGTGTTCAGTTGGAACTGGCCGACGGCGAGAAGCTAGCATTTGATGCCGTGAAGTCCAAGCTACGATCATCGGTGGAACTGTCTCACCCGCGTGGTGACGCCACGATGTGTTTATTTACGGATGCTGGTGAACATGGATGGTCGATTGTGGTAACTCAAGTGGTGGCATTCGATGATGACAGCCCAGTCAAAGAACAACGTCACGAACTGCTCTATGTCAGTCGGGGATGTTTGCGGGCGCCCAGTAGGCGTGACGTGGTTAAGATGTACTATGACCACAAGAACCTCATCCATGTCTTTGCCCCGGGCGAAGAATGGAAGGCGCACACACGCGACTAACTCATGCGATGGGCTGCCATTATTGGCGGGCGGCTATCATTATGCATCTACAACCTTTGGGCGGATATGATGAGCCGTTGGGGTCAGCCGACGCCAAGTCTAGCGACCAAGTGGGTCAAAATACGTGAGGGCCATGGCTAGTCAAAAAGAAAGTCAAAACACGCAAAGTTCCCCCACCGGCACAACCGAAACTGCGATCGCTGGACAAGAACTTTGTGTGGCCATGTGTGGTGGACATCCGTCACGCACAGACCAGCATGGCAAAGACAAACCAAAGCGAGCTACCGTGGTGGACGGACTGTGGTAAGTGGACGAGCGGCTATGGATTCCGAGTGCGGTGAATGACCTGATCCAGCGGATCATGGTCGTTGCCCACTGCAGCAGCGCAGGGTACTGTAGACATGCAGCGCTGGTGTCTACTATCCGCCGCCTGTTCTATGTCGACCACTTGGCCGACAGGGCCAGTGAATTCCTCCGTGGCTGCTTGTTGTGCCCTCAGGTAAAAGGGGGAAGGGTGGTCCATCGACCGTAAGTTCCGAGGTGGCACGCGAAAGAGCGCAACGAAGGAATCCACTTCGACTACCTCTACATGGACGGAGCGTTCAGCGGCGCTAAGTACGTGCTGGTACTCAAAGACGACCTTACCCACTACTGTGAGCTCATTGCATGCGATGGCCCCACGAGCTAAGTATGTGTGGAGGCCCTGGTGGACTGAACGAAACAGTTCGGAATGCCACGAGTCTGGGTCAGCGACCAAGGAACCCATTTAAAAAATTTAAGAAACGTGGCCATGAAGGCGTTAGCCTACAAGTTCAAGGTCCATCACGACCTCACCTTGGCCTACTGCCCCTGGCGCAATGGAACGGTCGAGCGGATGAACCACGACATCGTCCAAGTGATGCGGGTCATGCTGCGAGAGTACCAGCTAGCCGAACAAGAATGGGACTACCTATTGCCGGTGGTCCAATCCAACCTCAATCAAACACCGGCCGCATCACTGGCGAGCAAGTCGTCGATGGAGCTGTTCACGGCTTTAAACCTGGCGACTCCCCTGGATGTCGTCGTGGTGGGCGTGAACAAGGAATTCCGAGAGAGCAACTGGACGGTCAAGGACATCCCCAAAAACTTGGACAAGCTGCGTGCTAGCCTGCAAATTATGCATAAAGAAGTCCTAGACAAGAATGCGATACGCGCGGCGAAGGTAACGAAGTGAGTTTGCCGCCAACTTGGCAGCGCTCTTCGACAAGTACGTCGACGTATTCCGTTTGAGTCTGGGCCGCGACCCACCGGTCAAGATGACGCCGTTGAAGGTGCACTTGGCCCATGGGGCGCGGCCGATAAGATGCAAGGCCCGTCGGTATTCCCTGCCACAACGAGAATTCATGCAGCATGCAGCAACTTGTGAAGGAGTTGGAGGCAGCCGGTTTTGTCTACCGGAACCCCGCCAGCCGGTGGGCCTCGACCCCCTGATCGTACATAAGTCCCACACCAAGGATGAATTCCGAATGACGGTGGATCTGCGACCAATCAACAGCCAGACTGAGCAGATCGCCTGGTCGATGCTCATGTTGGAGGTGGTGGTGGATCATTTGAGTGGCGCTGTGTGTTTTTTCCTCCTTGATTTCTTCAAGGGGTACTGGCAGTTCGCCCTCGACCCCGGCTGCCTGGAGATGTTCTCCTTTTTGACCGACACCGGCGTCTATTCCTCCACCCGCGAAATGAAAGGTGGCAGCGACATCGTGTCGTACTGCCAGTCGACGGTGCAGGATATGTTCTCCGAGAAGTTGTACAAAGGCCTGTTGGCCTGGTTGGACGACCTCTTGGGGTACCATCGTACCCGCGAGGGATTGTTGGGTGTGCTGGCGGACGTGTTGGCTGTGTGCGCTGACAAGGGTCTGAAGCTGCACCCGAAAAAGTGCAGTTTCTACGTGACCGAGGCCAGGTGGTGCGGGCGCATCATCAGTGGGACTGGGGTCAAGCATGACCCCGCCCGCGTTGAGGCGCTCCAACAGCTGCCGTCCCCCGTGACTGGTGCTGACCTGCAGCAGTATGTGTGCGCCATCAACTGGATGCGCATGAGCATCCCCGGGTACAACGTGCTGGTGCAGCCGTTGACCGAGATGCTGGAGCGGGTGTTTGCCGCTGGTGGCGGTAAGAGGACCAACCAGGCCGTTACGTCGGCTGGTCGGTCGTGTACGACGATTGTTTGGCCAAGACCAAGGCTGTCCTTGGGAACGTGCTGTGTCACCCGGACCCACAGTAGCGACTTTGTGTGTTTGCTGACACGTCGGAAGGCCACTGGGGTCTGAGATCACGCAAGTGCCACCCGACCAGTTGCACCGGCCGATTGACGCCCAGAACCACCAGCCGCTCATGTTCCTGACCTTTACCGGTGCAGCTGGTCGGTGGGCAATTGTGGAAAAGGAGGCGTATAGAATTGTTGAGACGTTGGTCCGTGCAGACTACCTCCTCCATCCCGTCGCCGGTTTCAATTTGTATACCGATCATCGCAACCTGAAATATATTTTTAGCCCAACATCTGTTGTGGCATCTGTACCCAAGTACACGGCCCAAAAGTTGGAACGGTGGGCCCTGCAGCTGATGGGCTGCAGTTATGTCATCCATGATATCCCTAGCAAAGTCAACGTCTGAGCTGACCTACTGTTGCGCTGGGGATCTACCCTCCCCAGCATCTGTGCCAGCAGCCACTGCTGATCTCGCCGTTGCGGGACGAAACGTTTGTTTGGCCAACATTTGTGTCCATCGCCGAAGCCCAGGTGGTCGCCCCTGACGACGTCTTGTCGAGAATGACCAAGAGCCTGGACGCCGTCCACCTGGTGGTGCTGGCGTCTGGCCAGGCGTGGCCTCTACGTCTCGTCGACGATATGATCTGGGTGCCCGTCGCCGCTGCCGAGTTACAGCTGTGGCTGTGCGTGTGTGCCCATGCAAGTTTGGCCGGCCACCGCACGGCCAAGGCCACGTTGGCCAGCCTGGAGCCGTTCTGCCAGTGGACCGGTATGAAGGGCGACGTCGAATTTTTTGTGCGTCGGTGCCTACATTGTGCCAGTGCATCTGGCGTCCTCTTGGCGAGGCCCTCCACTTGAAATGGGTCCGCTGGTCGGAGACTCACTCGTATCACACGCCGAACACGGCAAACCACTGCAGGAGGCAGTCCTTGACGAACGTCGCCGTGGCCTCGGGAGCCGGTAGAACCAAATCATCTTGCTGGCGCAACACTTAACTACCAGCAGGTACTTGTCGCCTGTCTTGGAGGCGCCCATGAACACAAAGTCCCAATGAATCAGTCCACTGCCTTCACCATCCCTCGGCGGTATGGCCCCCGTGACCGCCATGCCTGGCCGTCCGGCAATGTCGCCGGTTGGCACTATGGCGTTGCCGGGTTATGAGACCCCGTTTTTATCACACACTAAATAACGAAATACACACAAACTTTCACGAAAACCACATAGAAAACACATGGGCTTCCAGCACCAGTATTCGTTGGGGATGATCCCAAGGGAGTATTATCATGTGTTTGTTTACGATACTGGCGTGTCATCAGGTACCCGTATGGTCAGTCACACACATGGTT